CTCAAATCCCACACTAGGGGATGGAAGCTAATTGTGAAAAATTATCCAGCTACAGCTGCTACCATTTGAAAAAAAACAAACTGTGCTTTGAACAAACATATCATCTCTTTGTGAGGATCTTAGATGCATTTCACGGCTGACTATGCCCCGTCCTCCACCAGTAGCTTCATCTTAACTAACAAGCATGTGTGAAAGCCTATTTCTGTTTTAATCAGGAAGCTATGGTAACAAGCTTATTTTGTGACATATTCTTAACCCAGGGAAGCACTTAATGATAATTAAAAATTATTCTAAAACTTAAAAAAAATCTTTATGCACATTTTTGATATGTTGTAATCAGGGTATTAAGGTATTACAGATAAATGGCTCCAAATACTTCCAGTACTTGAAAATAACAAAATGACATTACCACTGAATTCAGCATTATAGAAGTAATGAAGATTCTGGAAATTTAAATATTTCTTGGGAAGAACTATTTTTTACAGCAGACAAAGTCTCAGTAGCAACAGTGTGTTGGCACATTTTCGAGCTGCAGCATCAGCTGAGAAATGCAGAATCAAGGAGAAATGATACTTTTTCTCATTCTTAAATATCTACCAAGAGCCTACAGGGTATTAGACAGTGGTAGAGAACAACTTGTTTTGGTCATCACTGCAGTTAAATAATTTATTTATTTTTTTAATTTTTTAAATGATTAATTTATTTTTATATAAGAGCTGGGGTACAGGCCAGAGGCGCGGGAGGGTGAAAGGATTCACCAGAAACAGAGTGGGGAGCAGAACAGGAAGACTGACTGAAATACGCTGCTGAGGGGAGTAGCAAGCAAGACAGGAGAGTTCTGCTGTGCCATGTGGGTATCTCCCTGGCCACCTGGGAATCAAACCTGTGCTGGGGAGGCTGCAGACAGCTTCCCAGCGCTGTGCTCAACCCACTGTGCCACTGGGGAGGCCCTCGTTAAATAATTAAAATAGAAAAACAAATAGAATCTCATCATGATTGGGTAAATCAAGGGACTGTTTCACATTTAGCCACATCATGTGAATGAGTTTTGAGATTGCAGAAGCCAGACAAAAAGACAGTGGGTGTATCTTATGGTCTTTGGTTACCAAAAAACTAAGGCTTGGGTCTGCTAATTGGGGTTATAGAATTTATGTTAATGAAAATGCACACATTGTGCAAAAATGAAAAATGATGTAAGAATTTTATAAAATAAATATAAAAATATAAAAAAAAATAAACATAGAAATAAAAAATAAAGAATAGGATTTGTGCTAGAACAGTGATTTGCTAATAGTGGGTCCGAGGGGTCCTGGGGGTCCTTGAGAACCTTTCAGGGCATCTGCAGAGTCTTCTCTTTTCCAAGTAAATATTGTGGGAATCAACGTTTACTTCATGCATTGTAACCATAGTGCAACAGTTAGCTCACAACATACAAAACAGCAGCACTATTCCCACTTTTTTGTTTTGGACAGTAAAGTTATCTTTCATAAAACTATGTTATTTACTTTTGCTGGGCCTCCCCTGGTGGCGCGGCAGTTGAGGGCTGGGCTGCAAAGCTACCTGTGGCCTCTGCAGCGCCGGTTCGATCCCCGGCCACTGGTGAGGAGGGTCCCACATGGCGTACAGACCTCTCCTGCAGCCCGCTGCTCCCCTCAACAGTGAATTTCGTCATTCTGCCTGTTCTGCTCTCCGCACTGGCTCTGGTGAATTCTCTCTCACCCTCCCACGCTTCTGACTGTACCCAGTACTTGTGTAAATAAATAAACAAATTAAAAAAAAAAACTTTTGCATACAATAGCTTTGTTATTCTATAGCTTGTTTATTTTATTGATGTACCATTGGTTTACAATACTATACACATTTCACGGGTATAGATTCACATCTCAGATTTTGTTACTTTAAATGAGTTAAATATTTAATATTTTTTCTAGTTTTAATTTCTAATACTAATTAAGTTTTTCTAATTTAATTTCTAATAAATACGGAGAAGCTAAATTAAGTGTTCTTTGATTGAATTTTGATAATCATTATTGGATAATGATCACGATTGTGGGTGGAGACTTCATCCTAAGGCCTATAAAAAGCCAGATGTCTCCCTTCAGAGTAGGAGGGGCCAGGAGAAGTGGGGATATAGGATCTCAGCTGAAAGTCTCAAATCAAAGTACGTAATCTCTGTTTCTGGGCTGTTTCCGTTTTCTTATTTTTCTTTTCCTTTTTTTTTAAAATGCCTCTCTCTACCTCCAGATTCAGAAGGGAGAGAATCAGCCTTATCCTGGGTGAGGGGAGTTTTTGATCTTCCATTCTAATTTCACCATTGAAACTTTTTCATATTAACTTCAGGTTTTTTTTTTTTTTAACAAGTATTTTTATGTGCTTTCAACTACAATATATGTTTTTTTTTTTTAAATTGTTCTTTTTTATATTGAGAATTATAACATTCCTAAAAGGCTTTTCTGAGGTTGTCCTCTGGCTGCCAGGTGCAGTTATGCATGCAAACCCCCTGCATGAAAACAAGATGAAAGGATGTCTGCCAACAAGCCCAGCCTCAAGTCACAGCTGCTGAATTTTGATTTGTAGAAATTTTTATCAATCATTTTAACAAGTTAATGTACATTCACCAAAAACTATTTGTTTTTCATGTTCTTGTTTTTTAATAAGATTAAAACATTTGGTGTTTTGAGGTTTATGTTCTGCTTGCTCCTTCACACATCTAATCTAATATTTGTGTCTCCTTCCCCTCACCATGTCCTGTTGTTCCAGATAGCAATTTCCCATACCTCAGTCTTATATGCGTGTGATGGCTCCTTTCCAAGCCATTTAGGTCTTCATAGGGTTGTATTTTATTTATTTATTTACTGAGTCAGCTACTTCTATGATGACAACTACTCTAGAATGGCTGGATTAGAACATGTTCTGGAATCTGCTTTTAATTTCCACAGAGACCCAGTGTAATGGCAGGACAGGAACACAGTGCAGGTTTTCTGATCCCATGCAGACCGGGTAAAGGAGGAGTCAGAGTCCTCAGTGGTTTTGCAGGTTTTTTATTGGGGTTCACCAGGCATATGGCAGGCAGGGGTGCTGGCTGGGGGGCTGGGAGGCCTCCCAGCCCCCAGCAAGTCCCCACTCTATCTGAGCTCTCTGGAGTTCGTTCTGCTGCTTCTCCGCTTATCTTTCGGCTTGGGCTTCGGCTTCTACTGCTGCTGCTGGTGTCCCTGTGACGCCGCCCTTAAAAAGCACAGTCTTAGCTCTGCTGAATCCCATCTACCTATGCCCACACCCTACTCCAGGTGCCCGCCATCAGGCATGCATTCAGGACAAGGATCCATCATCTATCCTGATGGCGGAAGAGCAGAAAAGCCTGACATTTTCTTTACCCTACACCCAGAATTGTCAACTGCCATCTCTTTCTTACTTCATTGGAGGTGGGGGAATAACCCAGCTTGGGTATTTTTTCCTTATATTCTTTTGATTCCAAAGGTTTTATTTCAGAGTTCTTTTACTTTTCTAACATTGGGTCTAGGTGAGGGTCTACCCCCTTCACCTTAACAGGTTCTTGTTAGATTGAAAAACAAGCCTTCTGAAATAATACTGATGACGAGCAATACACTATAATTTTCTCTTTTATAATATTTCATTAGAAAAAGATGTTGGTCACACATATTGATATCACAACTTACCAATTGGTTGACAGCTGTAGCTTGACAAATAGGAAAGGGATCTGGACTTCCACACCCTCAAGCCTCGGAGTGCTGAAGAGAGGACAGCTAGAGTTTCCTAGGACTAGAGGTAACAGTTTGTCTTATTTGCATATTTTGGATTCTCTCTAGGATTATTTGCTTCAAGGGGTTTACTAGCTCTTCCTCCAAGAGATTTAAGTTCCAAGTGTCCCTTCACTTTCCTTAAAGGACATGAGTTTTTCTTTTTTTTTTCCTTTCCTTATCAAACATTAAGGGGGAACATGCTAGTGGTCAGTGGTTGATTTGACCCCATTCTCCTTTCTAATTGAATCTCTGTGACCAGGGAAGAACTGGATGTGGACTGGGTCACATGCTCATCCTTTTAACAATTGGTATTTGTCCTCCACAATTATTTCACACTTCTTACTCCTTAGCATCTTCTTGGCTATAAACCTAATGGATCCAAACTGGTGCAACAGTGCCCTACACTTCCTGTTCCATTCAAGCGTTCCCACAGTTCACTTCTCACCCAGGCACCTGAATGATTCTATTAAACTATCAATCAAAAGAAATAAAATTAAAAAAAAAAACTTATGAACTATCCATCAGCTCAATTACATCACTCTAATCTTAAACGCAGCAAACACTTAATAGGCCAATTTGATTAATCCTCTCAATTGCCCTCTCTCCTGTCCCTGCCCCACTCCCTCCCACACACTTAGTCTCTGGGCACACTCACTTTCTGTTAGAGCCACCTTCCTCAGGCTCAAATCTCAGGATTTGTCTCTTTTAGTTATGTGACTGTGGACAAATTATCCAACTTCTCTGCTTTGTAATTAGTATAGAGGGATTATTAAGAAGCCCAAGCTTTAGGATTGTTGAGAGGATTAAATGAGATAAATCCCTTGGATTGTTTTGCTCTGGGCTTTAATGAAAGTGCTATTTGTTGCCAATTAGTGATATTATCTGTTATTTTTGGTTAAGTGTGAGGTTGGCTATTTAACACCATCCTTATTTTATTAGAAACATCTTTTTAATGCTAGTTTTTAGATACTTTAATCAAATTTAGAAAGATGTATTGCATTTTGACTAATATTTTAATAGTAAAATGACAATCTGATATTTCTTATGAATTTATAGAAGAAAGCATCACCTTCCATCTCTGTCACTTATCTGTGTGAATTACTTCTTTTTCTCTTCCCCAGCTTATCCCTCATCCCTCCTTCACCAAAAATTACAGTATGGAAGTAACTATATCCTGAAGGGGCTTAATTGGTGTTGTTGGTAGAGGTAGAGTAAAATTTTGGTTACATCAAAAAGCAATAGAATACATGATGATCTCACCCCAACTTGAACTCTCTCATTCATAATATGATGACAAATAAAAGATCTGATATTCTGTATTCAAAATTAACCGTATTGAAATAATGGAAATGTGGTTAAAACATGACTTCTTTGTTGCAGAGAGCTGTATGGATGGATGCTCATGGGATAGAAGATTAAATGGACTTGATTTTTTTTTAAATAAAACTTTTTACAAAAAAAAAAAGCAATAGAAATATGGGATTGTATTTCAATTCTAAATTGTATTTCAATTCTAAATGCTAATTAGCATAATAGGATAATATCAGTTTAATCCTCTTTCACTTTCTAGCTCCTTTCCACCATTCTCCCTCTGAATTCAGATTTCCAGGCTTTATCTAGACCTGTCCCCATCTGGGATTTCTTAATAAAATATCTCTGACAAAACTTTGCTGGAATTTACTCCCTACTCTTCATTTTACCTGTCTCTGTCCCTGTACAATGAATACTTTCTATACACAAACTTCTTTCCACCACAGAACTCTTGGACTAAGCTCATTAAGTACTTATCCCAAGTTGCCTCAATTGACCTAACTGACCGAACTAGACTAAGCAGGAAAGGCGGATTTGCAAAGGTCATGGAGCAGCAAGGAAAGAAAGAAGATTCGAGTGGGGCTGAGCTGGGCCGATCCTCTCTGCCTTGATTAGAAATCTGTCCCTCTGGCTGGGCAGCAGCCTTCCTGCCTGCCCGTCACCTGTACCAGGCAGGGGCTTCTCCACGCTGGCCTCCCTCAGCAGAGGCAGCTTTCCTCAAGGCCTCTGCCTGCAACCATGCAGGCCTCTCTTAGCAAACCTGTCCCTTTCAGGGCAGCTCTTCCTGCCACTTGTGTCTGTGCAAGTGTCTTTTACTCTTCTGTCCCTTTTTCTAATAAAACTGTTCTTTAAATATATACATATAAAAAAGAAATCAATGGACCATAGGATACAGTGCATTTTAATTTTAATTCCTACATTAAGTTAATGAATCAAACTTTAATTAATTGCTTTAATTAATTAATGACATCTTAATTTGATTTTAATTCTTGCAGTAAAAACAAACCTGAAATGATTGAAAACATGAAGAGAAGGAAGGCAGGCATGAGGAAAGGTTGGATGGCCCTAGCTGGAATTAGATCCCTATGTTAACAAAATTCCCATAGCATCTGGACAAATCTTGCCTATGCTCTCCCCACCAACTCCATTGATCATAAGCTTGATCATTGATCATCATCAAGGATGATGCCCTGGTCATACCCAATGGCATATATAAGAATGTCTGTTCACTATAATGACTCAAGTCTGTGTCATTGTTCATATTGGGTTTCATAACTTTCTGTAACAAAAAGGTCTCTTTTTAAAAGCTTTGCTGGTTCAGTTCCTCCCCCCTCACCTCCATAGGCAGAAGCCAGGAAAAAACGGTGAAATTTACTGTGTTTTTAAAAGAAGCTACTGTTGTTGGACAGCCTATACATATTGGTTTAGAGTTTAGTAAATGCTGTTTTTTATTTCTCATTGGTGGCAAGTTCTATTGTGGCTCCAAGATGTGTCTATTGGTGCTTCAGGTAGCCTGGGCTCAGACTTCAAGGTGACAAGGACCCTCTAAGAGATAGCTGACTCTCCCTCTTTGCCTATTTTTCCTTTTCCTCTACCTTCCTCAACCAGTTTCAATAATTATCAACACATATCCAATCTCATTGGATTATGAACAAATCTCACAATTTACTAAACATTTCACCCACAAATGTTCAGTAAATATCTCCAAGTGAAAAACACTTAAGTAAATATAATTATGATGCCATTATTATACATAAAAGTTAATGATTCTTTAATATCATCAAATAGCCAGACAATATTTTCCAATTCTTCCTTCAGACTCAACTTTGAGAATTTCACTGCATTGGTCCAAGATGCACTTACCTACATTTCAGAGCCCCAGGGCTTGCTCTGTTGAGGTTTCCAGCCCAACGGATGCAGGCACATTTTTTTTTTTTCTCAGTCTTTTAGGTGCTTAAGTTAGCAGCCTGGGTTCTCACTCCTAACCTCCAACTCCAGCCACTATGCCACTCCAAGGCCAGCATGGGGCACAGTCACTACTGTGTCACTTGTTAAAAAGGCAGCAATGATCACAAAGTTGCAAATTCCAGATTTGTGATACTAGTTTCACATTCTGATACTTGTTGCATTTTTTTTTTAACTTTTTTTTTATTTTTTTATAGAGGCATGTTTTTATTTATTTATTATTTATTTGTTTGTTTGTTTTGTTTTTTGTTTATACATGCACTGGGTACAGTCAGAAGCACGGGAGGGTGAGAGAATTCACCAGAGCCAGAGCGGGGAGCAGAGCAGGCAGAAGGACCGAAGTACACTGCTGAGGGGAGCAGCGGGCGGCAGGAGAGGTCTGCTCGCCATGTGGAACCCTCCTCAGGTGGGCGGGGAGCAGCCGGGGATCGAACCGGCACCGCAGAGGCCGCGGGCGGCTTCGCAACCCAGCGCTCAACTGCTGCGCCACCGGGGAGGCCCGCATTTTTTTTTTTTTAAACCAGCTATCAAATGCAGGTGGTATAATTTTCCAAAAACCACAGAGTGAATTGTTTCAGGGCACTCTTGTCCTTGTTTACCTCATTCTTGCCTAGAATACCTCCTGTCACCAACTGCATGGGATTCTTCCAGAGGTACTCAATGTGTATATGTATGTATTTTACCTAAATATTATTTTAATATATACATTGTTTTGCACCTTATTTTTTTTCACTTGAAAATATCTAAGGAGATTTACTTGTTCTGAGACTCACAGAACAAGGATTTGCTGTAAAGTGTTCATCCATTTAGCCAGCTGCTTTTGTGAAAACAGTTCTCAATCAGATTTGTATGACCTTTTTTTAATTAAGTTTTCCCAGGAAGTCATTAGCACTTCTTACTCCAAAACATATGATACTATGTGCTATCAAAGAACTGTTATTGTCTAATAATTACATAATATCAATCAAAACAAATTGACCTCATGCCCAAACTTTTAAGTGAGAATAACTTTACTTTTCAAACATAGGTTGTTGGGTATAATTAGTGGTGCTTTAATAAAACCCTTAGAGAAGACTAAAATTCTGGATTTATTGAGGGAAATGATTGTGATTTCAGGAGATTCTCTGCAGACCCAAATGAGGGATGGGAAGAGAGGCAGGAAGCTGTTAGTAGTTTCTTAGAGAAAAATGCTGCTGCTGCTTCTCTTTAATAGGCTCTGCGCATCTAATCTGTAGTCGAGGAGGAAGCTCAGTGGTGGACAGTGTGAACAGTGTTTTTAAGGTCAACATGGCAGCTCTACTCTACTCCTTGTTCCAGCAGCCCCTGTCCAGGGAGTCAGGGGTGGAGTCTGGGAAACTCCACATTTTACAATGAGCATCGACCACTGGCATTCCAATGCAGCTCCTGACTGTCCCCCCAGTGTTCTCCCCAGATATCGTCACCCATCAAGCAGCCCTGCTTTCCTACCAAAGCAGCCCATCACCAAAGAACTCCCAGGAATCAAATAGAAAGTCTGCCCCCTCCCCTAAATAATCACTTCACAAGGTGGCAGCAAGGGCTCAGAGTATTATGATTTGGCCAGAGTTGTGCAACTGGTCAGCGCCCATGCTCTGCCAGTCACAGGGAGAAGCAGCAGAGACCATAGCCTTGATTGATAGACATAGAGTACTGCAGCGGCTATTTCCTGCTCCTTAGACCCTGACCAGCATCTCTAATCAAAGATGACTCTCCTTTCTTAGTCTAGACAGAAACTCCAAGGGCCCACTAACATTAATTAAATGTAACATTAAGGACACAAGCTCTTTGCCACAGGATTCTAAAAATCAGGTTAAAAAATAAAGAAAGGCCACTGGCTATCACTGCCATTTAACATGTTACACAAATACAGGCCCAATAAATAAATTATAAGCAGTGCCTTGCTGCATCCTATTTGTACAGAGCTGATTTTGTGCATCTCATCCCACCTCCGTGTTCAATGATATCACATTGGTAGCTTCAGCTCGGCTATGGTGAAGGTATTTACATACCAGCAAAATGGCAAATGTCTACTTTTATCTTTTATTTTTCTTTTCCTTTCCTCTTAGTTATTGGAGAAGCAGTGACTAAACATTTACTAGCACAACACTGATTTACAAGTTATTAATAATAAAGGTGACAGTTGAATAGAGGTGATAAAGCCATCATTATTTATAAAGCATGTGTTTTTATACATTAAAAAAATCAGGGGAAAAACCATCTCAGAATTAAGAAAATTTAAAAAGATACAGGCCAGATTGCTGAATTAGCCCTTTGAGACAGACCATACCTCCTTTGGTGCTGATCCAATTTGTAAATGGTAAAACTTCCAAGAGATAACATCTATGATTTTTATCAGTTGGAGAAAACTGATTAGTACTGAGAGAGGAAAAAAAATGTTAGTGTTTATGGTGAGAGTGGAGGTAGGAGGCTATAAGTTGGCTGGTTTCAAGTCTCAGGTTGTTTAAACTCCATATTTTGTCTAAGTTCAGTTTGAGGTTTCTTTCATTTCAACCAAGACCAGACTACCTAATAAAATCATCTATTTTTTTCATAGGGAATCTATAAAGGAAAAACACTTCACTCCCCCCTAGCCTCCAAGCTCTTTGAAAAGTTTTAAATGTTTTGCCTGAGGGAACTTTACTTTGCAGAGAGAAATAGGGCTCTTATTGTAACACCCAAGGCAAGCTATGGTCCCAAGAATTCTGGCAATGTGACACCAAGCAAGACTGAGGGGAACCCAGGTATAACAGAGGCCTAAAGCCAAAGACTGTTACAAGTGGTGCCTCCTGGAGGGGGTGCTAATGAGGATTGATAGCCCCAGGCAAAGTAAGAACAAAGTAGTATCAGGCAGGGTGGAGACTCTGACAAAAAATGTAAGTGACTGCCAAAGCCGTCCCCAGAATTCAACTTTCAGAAGTTCACTGTTTGGGGGTGTAGGGTAAGGAAAAAAAAATCAGGCTTTTCTGCCCTCCCACCATCAGGACAGATGATGGATCCTTGCGGTCCTGAATGCATGCCTGATG